ATTCATCTCTGCTAATAATGGATTTTCTCACCTTTTGTTTGAAAGCTTGTTTGTCTTCATTTGGGGAGGATCTTTACGATGAATATAGAAGTCAAGACTGGCAGTATCCCTTCCCCAAAATATTTATTTAGTCCTATTTTCTCTCTTCTCTTCTTCTAGATCTCCCATTATGTCAGATCTTTTCATTCTATCATACTAATCGTACTTTCTGTATTTTCAGTCCTTTAAATTCTCTCTGTGCATTAACCTGAATTAATATTGACATCTCTTCTGGATTACTAATCCACTATTCTGATTATAGGTAGATAGCACCCCAATCCATCTTTCTAATTTGTAATTTCAGCCACTGTTTTCCTCCCTCTCCCCACTTCTGGATTCCAATTCTTTGTTAAAATTATATGCTCTTTTTAAAAATTTTTTGAATTTTAATTTTAGTTATTTTGATATATCTGATATAAATCAGAATTGTAAATTACTTATAGGTACATTTTTTTATTTTTCTGTCCCTTCCCCCCTGCCCCAGTCTTCTTTTTGGGATCCTTGGTTTGTTTAATTTGATGCTGGATATAATAGATCAAACTTTGAGGAACCCCTGAATGATGCTATGTTCTTCCAAGTGGCATTTTTTTTTTGGCTTACCCCATGGCTTACCTTGTTCTTATCTAGGCTTGGCATTAGATCTTGTTCAGGCTGTTCTTTCATTTTTGCCCCTATTCATGAAGCACAGTCCTAATTCCCTAGTTAAGAGGAAGCAGAAACAACAAAAGAATGCCATCTCATTTTCAAAGGACATTTTCACTGATTATATATTTCCATGTGGACTTTTTATTTAATTCATCATGTTAAAAATGTCATGTCATTGTCTTCTGACTTCCACTGTTGCTGATGAAAAGCCAGCTATAATTCATATTCTTGTTGCCTTGCATTTGATGTATCTTTCCAGCTTTAGATATTTTTCTCATCTCTGTTTTTTAAACTGTTTGATCATGAAGTGTGTAGGTGTGATATACTTTCAATTGAATCTTCATGGGTTTTTCTGACCTTCTTAAATCTACAAATTCATTTTCTGTCATACTGAATGAATTTGGGGATTATTTCTAGAAATGGATATTATTTGCTCTACTTTCTTTCCCTTTTTTCCTGGAATTCTGTGTGTGTGTATGTATGTGTGTGTGTTTGTTTGTGTGTGTGTGTGTGTGGTGTAGTGTGTATTAGGCTGATTGGTATTACACCACAGCAGATCTCTAAGATTCTATTTATTTAATTACTAATAAGTCTTCTCTCTGTTCTTCAAATTAAATACCGTACTGTTAGAAGTACAGATTTTGTAAATTATTGTACTTTTTGTTCTAGGATTTTCTTGTTTCTTGTGACTTATATTTTTCTACTGAATTTTTTCCCTACTGTTCACTCTGACCATATTGTCCTTTAAATACCTGATCATGTTATAATAACTAATTTAAACTTCTTTCCTACCATTTCTTATATCCAGACCATCTCAGCCAGTTTCCATTGACTGCTTTCTCTTAAGTATTGATTACTTTCTTTTTTTCATATATCTAATAATTTTTATTGTAAATTAAACATGGTAGAAAGTCTGCAATACGTTTTTTGGTTTGTTTGTTTTGGTGTACTGAGACTCAAGCCAGTCCCTCACTCATACTACGCAAATGCTCTACCACTGAGCTATAAGCCTGTCCCACTATGTTGTCTTCTTTTAATAAGTGTTTTATTCTTATATAATAAGTGTTTTATTCCCTTGACATGTCCAATTGTTCTTATTCTTTATTAGAACATGTGATATAAAGAAAAAATATTTTAAAATTTTGTTTGTTTTTTTTAAATTGAAAACACTTTTTATTTTTTTAAAAGAGAGAGAGAGAGAGAGAGAGAGAGAGAGAGAGAGAGAGAGAGAGTTTTTTAATATTTATTTTTCAGTTCTCGGAGGACATAACATCTTTGTTTGTATGTGGTGCTGAGGATCGAACCAGGGCCACACGCATGCCAGGTGAGCGCGCTACCGCTTGAGCCACATCCCCAGCCCAAAATTTTGTTCTAAGACACACTCTTTACACTAAAGCATGGTTTTTCTATCATCTCCCCCAAATCAGTAAAGTACTCAATGAGGTCTCTCTACCCTGCTAGGCTGTCATACAGTGTCTCTTAACACTGTATGACATGCGGCAAGCAATCTGTTAGGCATTACAAGGTCTTTCCATGATATGCAGCCCACTTCTTGCCCAAGGACTCATGGTGAACCTCCACGTAGGTATCTGGAGCCCCACTTTTCACAGCTTTCTACTTGTAGAAATACTACTCTGCCAATTTCAGCTGTTTCAGCAGCCTCAAATTCTTCTCTCCTTCCTCAACTGAGACTACTGCTCAGCTTGCATTCTACATCCCCCAAAACAAATGTGCTCTTTAGAAAAACCAAGACATATGATAGGATGTTATGGAGTTCACCTCATGTGTTCTCTTTCTCTTGAGGATCACAGCCATGTGGTGCCTACTCTACAATGCCTGAAAAGATATGCCTTGTAGAGTTTTGCCCAGTTTTACAGTTCTTTTCCTGTTGAACATATTAGATAACTGTTACTCTCTCAGAGCTGCAAACCAACGTTTTTAGTGCACATTAATTTAAATGCACACTTATGATTTAAATGGCTGAAATTAGAACTTTTCCTTTGGTTTGTGAGTAGCTATACTGAAAGTCAGTACTTTCTTCCTACTGCATTAGGAAGAAACCAGTTCAGAATGAAAGACAATTGACTATTTGGTTGAAGAAGTAACTCCATTTTTAAAGGGTGGAGATGGTTTGGTAGTAAATTAGTTCTCTTTCTCTGCCCTGGGAGATTGGACAAACAATGGATCTAACTAAGAAAATAGACTGACTCATTTGGCTGCAACACTATACTGAAGTTACAAGCAAACTAATATGAATCTAAAAAAAAATGGGTTCTATATACTGTAAGTGAATCGTATAGTCAATTCTGATATTTCTCATTGAAGAATAAATCATATATTAAATTCATAAAGAAACTCTAAATTCAGTCTTTCCTTACCTCATCATCTGCTATAGCTAGGCTGAAGTCATATGCAATTTGCTTCATTATTTATTAACTCTTCTTTAGACTGGAAGTTTCCATTGCAAAAGAAGTGAAGTTTGCTGTATCATTCTTTCTTCCTATTTTTTTGGAGCATTTCTCAACTACCTGTCCTAGTGAATACCCCATCTTCAAAAGATACAAAAGAGAACAGGTACAGATGAGAAGGGAATAAAGACTACTGGGTAGGAAGAGAAGTTGTATGGGGCTAAGTAATGGCTCATAAATGAATAGGGGTGGAGTAGGGAGGGAAATGGAATCACAGATCTGGAAGAGACAAGTCATCTGGTCCAGACTGCCTCTAGACAGGTCAGGAAGGGGTGTTTGGGTGGAACTTGTTTACATCTGGATTTAGATTTTCCTGAACTTTTTTAGTCTTTTGCCTTTTACCCAAACTGATTTCTTCTCTGTAAGACCTTTGGTAGTTCCCAGAACCACCTGCCCCAGGATGAAGTTCTTTGGAGCAGATTTAACTAGCTTTGAGAATGGTCCATTCTTTTTTCCAGGAGATCTGTTTCAGGTTTAGGTCATTCCATTGGCCTCCATCAACTGAAGGGCAGGTCTCCCTCAATAATTCCCTGAGCGGAAAGGAAGGGCTTCTCCGCTGATGGTAACGCTCCATGTATTTCTAACACCCCTGAGCTGTGAGGACATGATGTGCTGAGATGGGTGGAACTTCGAATTGGAGTTTCTAATAAAGTTTAAAAATTCATTCTCCATGAGAGAAGCATGTAGCTGCCTACCTTTCCCAACATACACATTCACACCCCTGCTTTATTCACTGCTAGAAGTGAAACTTTGGCAAATTATGGTTCCTGAGGGACCAACCATCTCTTCTCTTCGTCCCAGTGCCTGGATTCACGTCAAGAAGCTGTGGAACGAAAGCAAGTGGAGGTAAATTTTAGCTTATTTCTCTGCTTCACAGAGGAAGGAGGCTCCTGAGCATCATCATAGAGGTACATAAGGTAATCCAGGTTAGTGCTATCGTGCCCCTCCCCCACCAGCATACACACGTACTGAGCAGAAACATGCCCATCTCCCGGCCCTCGCGACCAGCACAAACCGAGCAGAACTTCCCTTGGGTTGCAGCCCAGCGATATGGAGCGGCGTTGGCGCAGAGCCCTGCTCTTCCCCAGTCGTGGGTGGCGCGGTGCTTGTTTCCCTCCCCTCCCTTTCCGGACCCAAACTGGGATGTATCTGGGTCAGCCTGGGAGAGGCCGGACCTGCCAGGGACCGGAGTGGGGGAAGGGGGTGGCGATGACAGCATCTTTCAGGTTTTTGGCATCTCTGGGTTTTGCCTCCTCCAGGCCTCATCCCGCTAGCTCTGGGCTACAGCTGACATTCTGAGGGTCCTGGCCCAAGAGGTGGGCGGGGTGGGGGAGCCCGCCCACCCCTGTGCTTCCTATCCGGACGCCCCCGCCCCAACCGGGGAACAGTGAGGCACCACCGCCCTCACAGCAGCGCATACACACTCCATATTCCCTAGGGCACGCTCCCCAGGCGGGTGGTGGGTCCCCCGCCCCAGGAAAAGAGCAATGGAACAGTTCATGGCCGCTGCGAGTTCCTGGTCTTCCTTCCTTTCCGGTGATAAACGGCGGGGCTACAAGCCAGATGCTGTTCAAGATGCTCCACCCATGGGCCAAGCCCCCCTCTTGGCTCTACAGGGCTCAGGGGCCAGGGTCAAGGGTGCTTTCACCTCCTCAAGGCACCTGGGCTGAGCACCTGGGCAGTGGGAGGTGGAACTCAACCTGAGGCTTAGACCCCGTGAAGGCTTGGCTGTCTTAGGTCCTCCCTACGTGATCTTTTGCGCTTACAGCGCTGGGGAGGAGCTGGATGTGCGTAAAAAACCGCACCTTCCCCAGCGCTTTGGCCAAAACTGCTGGGTGAGGTCCCGAAGGTCAGGAACCCTCCCGGTTCCTCTCCCTGCGAGCTCCCAACACCGAGGAATCCAGACTATATAGGTCTTCATTTCCCAGAGGCCCAGCCCCTCTATCCCCAATCTTGCCCCGCATAGAAAAGGCAGCTCCAAATTTAAAAGTGCTCACTTCCTCCCAATGTCAAGGAGAAAAGAGAAGCAATCGGTTGGAAATCATCTCTGGGTTCTTAAATCCTCTACAGAGTAATGTCCTTTACCTCCCCTTCATTGGGGACTTGTTTGCCTTAGGGAAGCCTCGCCGATCTGGAAAGCACGTTTGGAGCCCACTGATGCTCTCTGGTAGGGAGCTTCCCTAAAGGTGCCTGCCTCCCCGGTGTTCTCAGCCACGCAGAGGTGTTCCTCCTCCCCTGCCTCCCCTCACCCCCAGACATCTTTTGCCATCATTTCATCCACCCCTGTACAAAGCTTGGTGCCCCCAGCCCCGCCTGGCGCAGCGCCCCCTCTCTGGGCTGCGCTCCGCGGGGAGAACGGACAGGGGCGCGCAGAGCTCTTGCACTGCCTGTGCTTGCTGTGCCTGGGGAATTGGGCTGTGGGCGAGGCGGCCCGGGCTGCCCTTTATCGCTCCCTGGGCTCGTCTTTTGAAACTTTATCAGGGAGTCTCGCCACTCGCAGCAGACGCGAGCGAGCAGGGGGCGGGGGCGCGGCGAGGCGCCGGCAGCCGTGACGAGGCGCTCCCGGCGCTGAGCGCTTCTGCTGGGGCACGCATGGCGCCCGCACACGGAGTCTGACCTGATGCGGACTCAAGGGGATTAATATGAACGCCCGTCTCGGTGGAATTTGGCTCTGGCTCCCTCTGCTCTTGACCTGGCTCACCCCTGAGGTCAGCTCTTCATGGTGGTAAGTCCATGCATATCAACGGGGAGTGGATTTTTGGGAAATGGGAGTGGGGACCACACTGGTCACACAGACCTCTCCAGTCGATGCTTCCCTGCAACCGTGGCAGTTGTGGATTCGGCCTGAGCCCCCACTGCTGCCCTCTTATTGCTCCCTCCTTTGCTTTTCTGGAAACCCATTTCGGCTTTGACAACTCCAAAGAATCACATGCCCCCTCGAATAAGATCCCTAATGTTTGATTATTTGGATACAGCTGAGCTAGCGACAGCAAAATCGGCCAATTTCTTATCTTAGCGAGTCTCTTGCTCTAGCAAAGGCGTGTGTGTGTGTGTGTGTGTGTATGTGTACTTCATCTTGAAAACTACAACCTCCCCCCCTCATACCGCGTCCTCAAAAAACTGCCTTAAGATAAAACAATTCAGTCAGTCAAGGATTGTAGAGTCCAAAGCCTGTGATTTTGTGTTATTTCCCGTCCTTCCACATTCCTGATGTTTCACCCAGCAAGGCAGAAGAACATGTTGCTGCCTCCAGGTAGAGACTATCACCTTGATGCAAACTACTAACCCTAAGGTATCTAAGACATTATGCTGTTCAAAACTGTCACCTTGAGAGTCTTTTGTTGTTCAGTTGATATGCTGATCTGTGATTTATTTATTTTGCATAATGATGGAATGTTGAATGGTAACAGGTCTTAGCATCATTAAAAGTACTAGATTCCCGCCCCATCCAGACTCTTCCCTATCTTTCCACTTGCTGATCTTGGAAAGAGATGGAATTGAGAACTGTAACTTCCGTGCACCTGAAAGTTTCATAACAGACATTAAAATAATGATTCAGAAAGATTGGTTATCATGGGCTATTTTCTAGACTTTGGCAACAGTAAGGAATGTCAGCCAAATGAAATGCTAAAGAAGAGAACATTTTAGGAAGACACTGGAGCTCTTCAAAGGAGCAGGGAGAAGTACTGATGAGAAGGCGGTTCAATTCCTTTTTAAGCTCATTCTGAACACTAAGACATTTAGCCTTTACATTGCTGACATAGGATCAAAGATTGATTTATCAGACTGACCATTTTTCAATAAAATGACCATTTCTGTTTCCATGAGTGTATAAACATTATTTATTGCTCAGGCATTTTGTCACATTGTCTCTCAGCTGTCACTTATATATATTTTTTGGAAGTCACAGCTGTAACGATTTTATGATCATATAAAATAATGAAAATACAAGAAAAAGACATTCTCCTTGTTTGATCGCTTCAAAAGACACCTATGGCAGCTTGGGTTTATATAAAAGGTACCTTTCTAAACATTTCACAACTAATAGAGAACATCTGGGTAGAGATGATGATGTAATTTTTTGTTAAAGTTTCTTTTCAAAAAGTACTTTATGGAGCTATAACACTGTTTGCTTCTTCCAAACATTTAGTGTCCTTAATAACAATACAAAGAACTTTTTTTTCCCCTAGGTTTTCTATGCAAGCCAAAGAGAGCTAGAAAATGGAAATATTTAAAGAGTTTTTTTAGTAAGGAAAGAGTGGCATGTGTGTGAGCACAGTATGACATAAGAACCCAGCAGGTGTTGATTAGACAGATATAGACGGTTTATTAGACATTAGGTCAAATGAATAGAGCAAGGAGGTTTTAAAGATCAGCTTCTCCCAGAGCCAAGTCCAGACACACTGGTCACTGAGAGTAAAGCCTTCTTGGAAGAAGTTCTGATGTGTTCTTCCCAAGACACACTGCCTCTCCCCGACTCTGCTTTCAGCTTCCCAACTGCAGACCTTGCCTCTGTGACCCTGCCCTGAGCATCATCTGATGGTCCCTGCTTCCTGTCCAAGAGACAGTCACCACTTCATTTGGGGGTGTCTTCCACATCACTCACCACACTTCTCTTGCCTGCTTTCCTACTGATGATAATTAAGTAGTCCTTGCTTTTCAATATTACCAAAAGAATAAGGAATCCATATTTAAACCCTGATTTACTAGGGAACACTGAGCCTCGCCTAGCTGTTTATGTTGTGCTCACTTCTGTGTTGATCCCCCACAGGTACATGAGAGCTACAGGTGGTTCCTCCAGGGTGATGTGTGACAATGTGCCAGGCCTGGTGAGCCGCCAGCGGCAGCTGTGCCACCGACACCCAGATGTGATGCGTGCCATTGGCCTGGGTGTGGCTGAGTGGACAGCAGAGTGCCAGCACCAGTTCCGCCAGCACCGCTGGAACTGCAACACCCTGGATAGGGATCACAGCCTCTTCGGCAGGGTCCTGCTTCGAAGTAAGTTCATTCCCCACTCCTGCCTTATCCCTGCTTCATGGACTTCTCCTTACACACCCCTGCCCTCACTTGGTCTTTCAAAGGTCCTGCTCATCTTTTTCTGCATCCTGTTTAGTCAGTTTGGTGCTGTCTAATTTTACAGATGAGGCCTGGAGAAATCAAGGAACTTGTCTAAAGCCTTATGGATGCCAGTCCTAATGTAGGAATAGAGTACCTCAGGCAATAGTCTTTTTACTCTTTATTATTTCAACCCTGCCTGTCCCTCCAGGTTCAGATTTTGTCTCCAGAAGGAAAGTGGCAGCCACAGGACTCTTTTCACTTCTGTCCTTAACTTTCAGAATTTGAACTTTCAGGATTTGAATTTTGAGCAGGTCAGGGTCGAATGCTCAAATCTTGTATTAGCCAAAGATTGTCATCATTACAAAAAATACATATTGAAAATGTCTTTTAGAAACAAAGACAAATCACACCTCACCACTTTTTGATCTTTCAATTTGGCTACTCAGACTTGCATTGCTCTGTATCCAAATTAGACATTATTTTCAATAGGTTGTCTATTCCATAAGGGAAGAGACTAGCTTGTATTCCTGGTGCCTTGCTTGGAGCAATACACATTGTAGGCCCCACTCATTCATTACAGTGAATGACTGGATGAACTTGTAGTAAGCACCTGTTATTTTCCAGCTACATACAATTTTTTTATGGAAGATCATGAATAAATAAATTTATTTTTCCTTGGTAGGAAACTTAGACATTATCTAATTACAAAATAAACTTCTTCAGACTTCCAATATTGAAAGTAGCTCACTAGCTAGTACACAACCAGAGAACAAACACTAGATGCAAATCAGATTTTACATCCAAATTTACCCATCTATTAACCTGGCATTATGAGTATTCTCCAGGAAATAGCACAGCTCATTTACTATTAGGAAATCAGACTGAAAACATGAAAGGTTACATGCAAACCCCAGCAAAAGGGAACTTTACACTTGTTTTTGCCCACCCCCACCCCCATTCCTAAGAAATTCATCTGGGCTGTGCACTTGGTAATGCTTAACACAGGGTGTTTCTATCATGTAATCATCACAGCCCCAGGGTTTTATGAGGCCAAATGCATAACTGAATGTCTCTAAAATCCCCCAAGGGCGTAGTACTCTCACTCTTAGAGTATCCCTAAAGTTAATTTACTGCGATATTCTGCAATTTTATTCTCTAGTTTAAGAACTATATTCTTCTGCATTCCTTTTGGAGTTTCGATATGACATCGCAAATTTTTGAAAGGATAATAGTAAATTTCAGCTTCATGGAATTTTAATACTTCACCTAGATTAGCTCACCAGTGAATCAATTGAAGTGCTAGGCCTTGTCAAAAAGAATTTGCAAATATCTAGAACAAGTCCTCTTGTAATATATTATTTTCAGGGTCTAAATGTTTAAGATGCATGAGATTTTTCATTTTCAAAGTGCTCCACAACCATTGTTCAATGATTTCTAATTGAATGCACTTCTTCTTTATAAAATGATCACTTCTCACTTTTAGATCCGTTAAGATGTCTCTATATAAGAAAAAAAAAACAAACCTCTTTCTATCACAAATCAGAGAAAGCAATTTTGATTTGTGATCCCAAAGATGGTATTTCTGCCAAAGCTGGGGATTCATTCATAAACTACTTTGTAGAGCTGCTGAGAGAGACAAGGTGAGAATTGGAGGCAATGGATCTACTCTGACCTACTCTAAGGCCTCTGGAACACAAGAGACTTCAACTTGTGTCTCCTCCTTCAGAGGAGGCTAGATACTTTTCCAAAATACTCAGAACTCAGAACCTTCAGCCACAGAGTTTCTTTCCATTCTTCACTGAAGGCCAGACTCCTTTCCGGAATGTATGCAAACTTCTGTGACTGTCAATGAGGTTTTGTGTTGGTTGTGGGAGGACTGAATTTGGCCTAAAGCAGCTGATCTTGGAAATAATCATGAAATTCCAATGAGGCTATCCAAAGATTTTTTTTTTACTATTAATTGCTTGGAGGGAAATTTACATCTAAGAGCTATGAAGAACTCTTCTCTGGAAACCTAAATGTGCTCCCAGATGAATAGGAAAGGCAAAGGGCAGCACCATTATAGGGAGAACATGAGAGTTACTAAAATATCCCATGACCATGGAAAATGGAGAACTTTCACCTCTTTTGCTGTAGAGAGCTAGAGTAGGATGAAACAATTTTTAGGAATATTTGTGATTTATTCTTTCAACAGACAGTTACTAGTCATGGGCAGAGAAAACCCAAACATTTTCTTAGAAGAATATACCTCCAGAAATCTAGAACAGGCCTCAAGAAACAAAAGGTGATTAGGTCTCATCCTTATAAATTAAAAAAAAAACAAACAAAAAAAAACAAAACCAAAACATCAGAACAAAAATTGTAAAACAGAGTAGAACAACCAACCCATGATCTTCCAGAAACTCCAGTTTCTAGTGTTTGTCTTACCAGGGAATAATCTCCCAACCCAAACAAAAACTGTGCCTATGCACTTAATAGACATTGTGTGATTTATCTTAACCCCCAAATAAGAGAAACTTCAATAGTGACACATGAGGAAGTACAAATATCACCATTTATATTTGGATTTTGTTGTGCTTTGTGATGGCCTTACAAAGAATCATTTTTTTCCCCTTAAGAAGAGGCCCAAGATCAAAATTTGTTTTGTTACAAAGCCAACTCTTGAAATGTGCTACTATTTCACACATAGCATTTTAGTGATTCATCCAAAACACTTAACTGAAAACATCTTAAGGCCATATCTACATCTGGAGGTAAAACGAAAAGTCGAGTCAATGTGCTAAATTTTTATTTAAATAAATAAAAAACCATAACCATTTAGTAATATATTTGAGTAATAAATTATAAGATATTCAGAAAAGTGATAATTTTCCTTTTGTAATTATTTCTAAAATGTATCAGATTGTGATTTTTTTTTTTCCTTTTAACCAACAAGTTAACGTGATTTTTTGCAGGTTACGTGAAAATGAACTTTGTTCCTAGAAAGTATATCTCTAACTGCTTTTAAAATACTGTCTGGTCACTAATATAGGCTCATCTACAGCTTTCATTCCTTTCCCCTAAAAGACTACTTCCTAAGACTTCTTTTCTCCTTAAAAAAATAAGAACAGTGTTAAATATATATAGGAATTTCCCCCCTATTAGTGTCTCTAAACATGGACACCATACTCTAAATACAAAACCAAACTTCAGAAGATAACTGGGGGTAACTATAAACAAGGTATTTTCCTAAACTTTAAAATGGATATAATACAAATTTTAAGTATTCAAAAGCTACTACCTGAATTAAGCCACATTTGCGTCTATTAGTCACCTTTTAAACACAACAACTCAGTTCCACTTAGAATATCTGCAATCCCTATAATGTGAGCTGAGACCCTTTAAAACAGCTCCCAGGACCATACATTCCTCTCTGGAGAACACAACCTGCTACCTATGGCAAATATTCCTCTAATTGATTTTACCTAGCTATAGGGCACGACGGATTCCTTTTTTGATGGTTAGAGGTTTGGGGGAGATATTTTCTGAAGGCTGAGGTAAGTGCCATTTAATAGGCTGTAGGTATGTTTTCCTTATTTTTAATAACGAGACTAGCAGAGCGAATATTGCAAGGGATGTATAATAAATTTTAGCACTGAATGACAAACGGAAACAAGTAGGGCTTCGATGCGAAAAGGTGGTTTGTTCTCCCAGCTGTGTGGTTCAAAAAGTCACACTCGTCTTGACATATTGAATCACCAAATGCTTCTCTGCTTTTTGCCTAGCATTGGCATTAGTTCATCCAGCTTCTATTTTGATTGTTAATATATTTGCTGCAGAACCATTAATAAAAAGGCATGCTAATAACAATGAAATACAGCTCCACTTGAAAAACGAGGTGCACACAGACCCTAAAGAGCCTTATATCTGTCACTATACCACAACACGGTGTTATGAGTTACTACAGATTATTAAAATAATTTAATGTAGTTATTGCACTGAAATATGTCCCTTTCAGCCTGTAAGTGAAAGTAGCCTGCTCTCTAATAAAGAACAATTCTAAGAAAGTACCCCAAAGGGTTCTTGCCCAAGTCTAATTATAAGCGGTAAATTTGTTTCCTTCCAGAAAAACCAAAGAAAAGCTTTTCACTCTCTTTTACCCAATACCAGTGATTAGTGCAGGTGTTCCAGAAGAAAGTAAATTCACCTTAATAGTTAGACATAGTATGTAACTCGAGGATATTGCATATTGCCTTCAACAATCTCTCAATTACTTGTGAAAGTTGATGTCAAGCCAAAGCTCTCCAGTGTTAACACCAGGGGCTGGTTACTGCCTGAATTCTCTTCCTACTTCAGCCCCCATTTTTTTGAATTCAGTATTTCAGTGTCTGTAATTTAAAAGCACATGGGTGTCCTCAGTAGGGCCTGGAGGTTTGGAAGGGTTTTGTTCAGATTTGTTTTGCCCTGGCTGACCTTGAACTCCTGGCATCCCAACTCAGCCTCTGGTGTAGCTGAGATAATCATGAGCCACCACACCCATCTCAGAAGGTTTTTGCCCCCAGGGAAGCTGTGATATCCTGAATACCAAATTACTGATTGAATGATAGAATTGTATAATTCACACTGTATTTTATGAATGAAGAAACTAAGGCAAGAGATGCCACACTCCACTATTATAGGACATTTAGGGTTCAAGGTGAATGTTGGGCATGTATGCAGACAAAATTCATTAAAACCAGAAGCTGGGTGAGGCCTTCTTTTATATATATATATATATATATATATATATAATATATATATATATATAAAATTTGTATTCAAGAAGAGTGTCCTGACAGATGTCTAAATTGAAGATGGAGATTATTCATATTTAAAAAGAGCCTTGGCTGTTTAAAAGTGTCCTTCCAGAATACCGGTACCTTCTGTTTAATGGCAGAGGATGTCGGAGGCCCATCGAGGATTAAAAAAGTCACCCACCATATGAAAGATATTCAGGACTAGTGCTCCCAGACCACTTTTAAGAAAAGCATTTTTGTTTCAGGTAGTCGGGAATCTGCCTTTGTTTACGCCATCTCCTCAGCTGGAGTTGTATTTGCCATCACCAGGGCCTGTAGCCAAGGAGAATTAAAATCCTGTTCCTGTGATCCCAAGAAGAAGGGAACCGCCAAGGACAGCAAGGGCACCTTCGACTGGGGTGGCTGCAGTGATAACATTGACTACGGGATCAAATTTGCCCGAGCATTTGTGGATGCCAAGGAAAAAAAGGGAAAGGATGCCAGAGCCCTGATGAATCTTCACAACAACAGAGCCGGCAGGAAGGTATGGGAATGCAGCCATGCTCATTTTGAGGACCGCATGGTAGCATGAGTCACTTAAAGCTTATCTTAAGCTTTCCTAGAGAGATAAAATGCTGTGTAGTCACAACTTCCCACTACCCACCCCCCACCCCAGGCCAGAGCTGTTTGTCCTAAGGAAAACCACCAACAGGCTGAGAGATTCCCACCCACACCCCACCTTCTTTCCCATAGCTGATCTGAAGGAGTCCACCCATTGCTTTTGGCGTTATGTTGAGTTGAGGGTTTTATGATCCCTCTGGATACTATCATCAGGCAGTAGATATATTCTGTGGGTTAGGATGACAGTGCTTTCATTCCATATAGCAATGACACATCCAGTGTTTGTTTCTATGGGATGTCAAGATCCAGAGCATCTTCTCCTGCACTTATCATGAAAGTAATTCCTCAGGCATGGTTTGGTGGCTTCTTCTGGACTCAGGGATACTCTCTTTTAAAGCCAAACTCAACTCCAATTCATCAAAGTCCTACTAGGGACCAGAAACCCACTTCGTGGTTTCTGGTAAGAGGACCAGGGGAAGACATGTTTCCTATCCTTTTATCCTGACAAACCTCCTGGACTATGTCCGGTCAGTAGTCACTCTCTAACACCTATTTGTTAGATGAGGAAACTGAGGCCCTCAAGGTGAGCTGATAGGAAAATCAGGACTAGAACTCAGGTTTTGACTTCTAGTCCAGGGATGCTTTGACCTAGAATTAAACCATTTCAATGCCAATATTCAAATCCATTTACAATCTATGTTTCTCTATGTGGTGGCTTGGCTAGAATCACAAAAGAATCTGGATACTGCATTTCAGGCCTTTGTGTAGAAGGCATAAACTGGCTGAACAAACAAGTATTTGGTCAAAACCAATATAAAATAATCTGATTGCCAATGGGAAGAGATAACCATAATTTGTCTTTTATCAACACAACATAAAAATGTGCATGATATTAATATATAAAGAAAAATCAGCATAAAATTGAAAGGCCCCCAGGGGGAGCTTTAATAGGAAAAAGAATAGAAAAGAATGCAGATCTGTTTGGATGAAAACCTTTTTACTAGGCTCCTGGAGAGAACAAATCTCATTTAAAGGAAGTTGGAACGAAAGAATTCTTGCTTAGCAGATGGAGTAAAATGAGTGTGGCCTGAACTGTTTACAAATAGTAACTTTCTTGAACTTTGAAAATCAACATTCCTTATTTTCATGAATTTATGAACTTATAGTGATTACTGCCAAGAATATAGACTACGGTTGAGCAATCCTACAACTATTGGTAATTGCTGTTTGTGCAATGGTTTAGATAAAAAATAATTTGTATTGACCTTTGTTTTGACACTGATAGTGTATATACAAGTTATAAAGTGTGGTGTCTTTGATAGGAGTGTGCTGCTTAATTATTCAAACAGAGCATATAGTTAGATTTCTCTGTTTGGAAAGATGAAGGCATATGGTCTTGCATTGTATCCAAAAGAATCCTGACTTATCAAAATAAATGTTAATTTGTTGTAATAGGTCATTAGATAATGAGTGTTTCAACTCTTCAAGACAATAGGTCTTAGCTATTATATTCTAGGCCCTGAATAAACAGAACTTTTAATGTAAATCACATGATTGTTCACTGTGTAGAGGTGAACAGCTGTCAGACCTCAGATATTCTCCTGCCTACTCTGCAAAACTTAGGAGGCTACTTTTGATTGGAATAAAAATGCACACGCTGACTTTTTAAAATGTGGCTTTAATTAATGGTGGGTGGGCAGACTTTTTCAAGGAGATGCATGATGTCAGTGAATATGAACTTTAATGAGAGTAAATGTATTGAGATAAACATGCGTCTCTAATTCTCTTCTTGCGGTCATCAGACCCCCAGTTCCTACTCCCCCTTCTTACCAGCAGAAGGTCTGTGGAATCAAAATGAGAACAGGCTGGGCTTGTGTTTGAAGGCAGGCCTCCTGAGCTACGCCTCCAACAGGCCCAGGCGGCAACATCAGTCCTTGTTTTTTTTCCCTTCACTTTCTTCTTCTTCTTTGTAGTTTTTAGTATTTTCCAAATTGCCCAATATGTACATCTTCTACTTTTCAAACTGGGAGTGGTGATGGTGGAGAGACCAACATATTTAAAAGAAGAGCCGTCTATTCCAAGATTGTTCTATTTGGCCAATGCTAAAAGTCGGAATTCAACATTGCCATTCATACCTGGCCTTAATTCCCCCCAATACTTGAATGGTTTCATTTATTTATGACGGTGGCTTGTTAGAGCACCCTCATGTGTTTCTATGCCGTATCATCATTTAGATCCTCTGTGCTATAATATGGCTTAATTTAATCACATTTTCAGTGGAATTCATAACTTTTTTTTTCTTCATGTTCTCTTGAGACTCATCTTTGATTGAGTCTAGTAATCCACTTCCAAATAGAACCAAAAAGATAAGTCTACCTGGTTTGAAATCACATACTCTTTCAAAAAGGAAATTCCACAGCTCCCCCCAGCTGTTCTAAAGAAGCCATGCTACAAAAACTTCCAAATTGTATCTTAAGGAAGGCTTAACTAAATTACAAGCAAATGGTACCTGGCCAATATCCACCACTTGTTCCCTTTCATGATTTTATAAAGGGCTTTTAAATTAGTCAAATCTTTCCTCTAAGATAAAATATCATAATTTCTTAAATTTCCCTAAGAGAATCTATACAAAAATAATCCATGTACCAAATCAAATACTGCCCATTTAATCACTCTAGAAATTTCCATGATAGTAAAAAAAACAACATAAAAACATTTTCTCAAAAAGTTTTCTTACTCTAGTGAAAACAGAAATAACATTTGAGATCAGACCCACTTTAATATTAATCTTGCAACACCAGCTCACTGAATTTCAGTTGTTTTTATATGAACTATAAAAAGGTAATGTGTGGGGCTATGAGAAGATAAGTGTAAGGCAAATGACACAGAAACTGGCCTATAGTAGGTGCTCAGTAAAAACTAATTCTTTTCCCATTATTGAAATGATGGTGGTTTGTAATTCAGGCAAGAAATCCCAGCACAAATCATTGTGAACTGCTACTTGGAATCAGTTTGATTGTTCCATCAGTCACTAGACTCATCTTATGTGCAATCCACACATTTATAAAAACAGGCAGATACTATTTTCTAATTTATAAAGTACCATCAAATGTTTTATGATAGGCTTTGCTCAAAACTCTTATAGGAATAAAAATAGCATTAGTAGTTCTACTTTTCAGATGAGAAATGGCTTTAGAGGGATGAAGTGAGTAACCCAGGGTCATATAATCATGAAATGTTGGACTTAGGGTTCAAACCCAATTGTGTTTGCCTGTGGGCACTCCTCTACATTTCTTTATTGTCTCCCTCCCTGGAGAATCTCTATGAAAAACAAACAGTATTTCTATATTTAATAAAAAGAAGAATAAACAGTAGCTGCTGCCCTTAAAAGGGGATTACTTTTTCCCCTTTATGTTTCTTCACATATTTTATAGAATGAATATCTATTCATGTTTAACAACAGGGGGAAATGTTGTTTAAAAGCTGAAAGAATTAACTGCTAGTCATTGTGAGCATGTGCAAAGCACCTTGGCCTTATTTGGGGGATTCACAGAATGTCAACTAATGGCACAGCAAGTTCTCGAGTGCTGTTCCTCTGTGTTGTTGGACTAAACTTGGCTCAACAGATAATTTTCTAAGGAATCACTTTGGGGAAGTCACTATTTTTGGTTCTAATACAGATGCAAAAAAGAATGAGACAATGAAGCCCCTTACCACAGGAAACCAACTTTTAATCAGGGATACAAGTGCAGGGCAGTCACAAGGCAAACTATGCTACCTGGTATCATGGTAAAATCAGTTAGAGGGACAGTGAGCCAAGGAGACAAAGGATGTGTCACAAGAGAACTGGGTGTTTGAGCTGGAGATGAAGATTTCCCATGACTGAGACAGGGAAATGCTTTTCAGGCTAAGGGACTGTATGACAAAGGATGACAGTGGAGCAGAAAGTGCTTCATAAAGTTAGGAATGATGGGGGCTCAGGGGTGGTGGTCAAGACAGAGTTAAGGGGACTTGAAACATGATTCTCAGCCAACTCTGGAGAATCTGAAATACCATCTAGTGACATTTAGATGTCTCTGAAAAGGCAAGAGAAAGGCACTGCATCGTGAAGACTTAAATGTTCAAGTTCAATTTTTATGCAACTGTTGATTTCTCCGGAGTCCAGTTTGAAAGAGTAATAGAGAACAAAGTTCAAACCTTGTATCATATATTTGATTAATGACTTACAAAGTAGATCTACTAGGAAAATTGTGAAATTTCTATCTCCCTGAATTTCAGTTTTAGCCTTCAATATGATCTGATGTAGTAAGCTTCCTGGTGTTTATTAATAATCAGCATATGACACCTCTATTGATATTCATATTTAAAAATAATGGTTAATATTCTTATTGGTCACTCTACTCATTAGGAATTCTTAGCTACAGAAGTTATCTTAACTGAGACAGTATAGAGGGCAGGGCTCTGGAATCAGAAAACTAGCTCTGGTGTTGTGTAAAACCTTGGGCAAGTTACCCTAGTTAGGGTGCACAGATGCATCAGGTTTTAACAAGTCTAAAAGCTAGATACCAGTATTTTCCACATTTTGCATATGAAGAGACAGGGGTTTAATAGAGTGACCACAATTAGCAAATAAATTGACATGATCTAGAATTCTAATTTAACTGGCACCCTGTATTTTTTATGGGAGAAACTCATAGGAGGAGGGGCTGCAGAGTTTCTTCTTGCATGCTCTGCCCAAGAAGTACCCCCAAGGTCAATTCTTGGCAATAGTAGGGCCTCTGAGTGAGGCCCTCTTGTGTGCTGGGACAGAGCAGATAGTTCTAAGTTCCATCCACAAGAAATGCCTCCAAAGTAAACAGAAAATGAATATTGTACAAGATGTAAGTGCAACCTTACAGGCAAGGAAATCTGAGTTCTAATAAA